ACGGCGCCGCGCCGCCAACATGGCCGCCGACAGCGCGCACGAACACAAGCTCGACATCAACACGCTTGATGCTGTCACACACGTCGGGGGTAAGACTCTCTAGATATATCGCGATCTCGTCCCCGTGAAATTAAAAAATAATAAAAATATGTCCTATGTTACTCATTGGTTATGTAGCTTTTTAATGCTGCAAGAAATTTTCAAATCGGCCCAGTAGTTTTAGAGTTATTTCAATACATACAAAAGTACAAAAATAAAAATCTTTTATTATATTAGTAGCTATCGCTCGCGACTTCATCATTCGTCATTTCATGGAATCAAAATAATAGAAATAATATCACACTTACATTATAAACGCGAAAGTTTAGATGGATGGATGTTTGTTAGAATTTGTAGCCAAAACGGATTTTAATAAAAATTTGGCAAAAAGGTACAGGATAGTCCCGAAAAACACATAGGCTACTTATTTTTGTTTCTTGTAATTCCACGGGGACGAAGTCGCGTGTGAAAGCTAGTATTAGTATAGATTGAAAATGGTAAAAAAAACAAGACTAAACAGATTGATGACGAAATTGATAAAGAATAGTTAAAAGTAGAGAAGTAATTAGGTACACAATTACAGGCAAGTCGATGTACAACGTGAACAACAACATAGCGATCACCAGCAACACTTCGGAGGAGCGCCTCACTGCGGAGACTGCCTCACAAGATGGACATATCAAACTCAGTCAGTATAAAAACTGTAGTCAATCGCATATAGTTAAACTAGCTTCTTGCTGCTATTGTCCGGTTTCCCAGCTACATTTAAACATTCGTTGATTTTTGGTTCAATAACTTCATCCAATGCGTTTCCGAACTACGTAACTAGAGTTTTACTCCATTAAAACATGACCTAACACTAGGTAACGACAAAATAATTGGAAACTTCAGAAACTCAGCATCAGTTATGTGATCAATTTAACTGCAAGGTACCTCGTAACCATTTATCCTCGCTACCAAAAAAAAGTCTACAAAGACGTTGCTTACTAAATATAAGAAATAGGAAGAAAGAACGAAGATGGATTATATGAAAGAAGATATCGTTAGGACGGAGTTAAGATTGATTGAAGTTGTATAGAAGAGTGCGGATTGTGGCACTTTGTTTGGTAAAATGAAGTAAAATGAAGAGGTAGTTATTAAGAAGTGGTGTATGCAGGTATCTGGTCGGAGCTGCTGCTATCGTTCTCGATGAAGGCGAACGTGCTGCAGATCCTGGACCAGTCGGTGGGCGCGGACACGGTGCCGGTGGTGCACGGCCTGCGCTCGCTCTCCATGGTCTGGGTCATCTTCGGACACACCTGCATCGTCGTCTTTAAGGTAAATTACAGAAATAATTACAAAATACATACAATACATGCAGCAGAAATGCGAATGTTAAGATGTGTGGGACAACACGAATGAATAAGATACGAAATGAGTATATTAGAGGAAGTTTGAGATTAGCACCAGTGGTAGAAAATGTAAGGAGTAAAAGGTTAGAGTGGTATGGGCATGTTATGAGGAGGGAGGAATCGCATGTTACAAGAACGACGATGGTTATGAATGTGGAAGGGTACACCGGTAGAGATAGACGTAGAAAGAGATGGATGGATTGGAAAGATGACATGATGAGTTATTTGGACGATGAAAACCTGGTAACGACTTTACGGTAGTAGGATAAGGCAGGGGCGATCACAAAAAGAAAAATTTGCACAACATGACTATTGCAAGGTAAAGTGACTTCAAGGGTCACTTGTATCCAGATTTCATTTAATTGTTTTGTGGTACACTATTTTTATGATATTGTTTGATCTGTGCTTTTTAAAAAAATATTAATGTATTCTAGTACGCAGACAACACCGCGTTACGCGCCATCCTCGAGAAGAGCTTCTGGTTCCAGCTCATCATCAGCGCTGTTTACAGCGTTGACACTTTCTTCTGTCTCGGGTAATAGGACATTTCAACTTTACCTTACATTATTTTTATTGCGATTCATAACAAAATAAATTGCTATGTTGCTACAGTTCAGATTTATAGATGTTTGTTAGAGTTTATAGCCTAAACTGTTGAACGGATTTTGATGAAATTTGGCATAAACATAGAGGTTAATCTGGAAAACACACACAAGCTATTTATTTTGTTGTTATTCCAAGAGGACGTAGTCGCGGGCTAAAGCTAGTTTGTTATAAATATAAAAATGTCTGACCAGTGGCATGCTGGTGTCGTTCCTGTACTTCCGCACGAGTGCGAAGGGCAAGCTGGAGCTGCTGACGAAGGGTCGACGCACGCTCACCTCCGGGGTCATACAGTTCTTCGGCCTCATTGGTTACAGATTTGCCAGGTTTGTACATATTGAAACATTTCATGAAATTCAAATTATTCTTGATTCTATGACTACAATTAATTTTATTTAAATGTATTCTAGGGTATCTTACTTTCAGAAGTCATACTAATATTATAAATGCGAAAGTTTAGATGGATGGATGTTTGTTAGAGTTTGTAGCCTAAACTGCTGAACGGATTTCGATGAAA